TTACATTATTTGAATGTTAAGTTCTTAAAAATATAATAAAATTGTAAATAATATGTCATATTTGTATGATATGTAATATAATATAGATAATTAAGGTACATTTGCATATGATTCTGGCGAAAAAAAGGTAGCGGTTCGCAATGAATCGTAAAGCCGCTGCCCCCGTGCTATATATTTAGCTCGATGATCGCTAGCGAGCTCGCAACGTCGCCATCAAAAAGTTCGCTTGGATCGCGTTATCTTTTTTTTTTTTTGGTTCTACTTTTTTGTATGATCCGACGCAAAATATCGACCAGCGCGGCCGGCTGCTGGACTACTGCGAGTTGGTTTGTTAGCTTAGGCGCTAAGTATCTGCAGCCTAGCTAATTGGCAGCATCGAAAGCCACGGAAGCAGTAGACCCGAGTTCAAGATTAGTTTAGTTAATCCGTTAATATCCTACGTGTGAATGGATTAAGTAGTTGGTCGGTTGGTTTTGTGGGGCATGTTATTTGTTTTGAGATGTACTTAGTACTTTGACAGTGTATTGGTAAGGGGTGTGTGATTTTAATTTTAAGGTACATTATTTAAATTGTAACATGCTCATAATTTCTTCTTCAAAAAATTGAAGGACGTCTCTCCCTTGTCATTTTCTTCAACACGCTTCTACAGCTGCTAAATGATTAATATAATTTTCATAAAATTTATTTGTTTAAATATTATTTGATTTTATAATAGTTTGTTTGTATCCGTGAATATATTAAAATCATTCAGTTATTCGGTCACTGAATTATATATACATAAAAATACCTATCTATAAGCTAGCCTACAATATGTATACATATGCGTGTCATTTTATATAGTACGAGTACATCACAACTACGGTAAATCTCTCATTTACACTAAATTCCTACTCCCTCCATTTTACATTACAGATCTTTTAATTTTTTAAGTTAAACATGTTTAAGTTCGCGAAAAAATATAACAACATTTCAAACATAAATCAAACGTATTATCAAAATTCATGTAATGCTACATGTAATGAAATTATTTTGGTGGTGTAGATGTTATTAATTTTTTTTATAAACTTGATTAAACCTAAAAAGTTTAACTTAAAAAAATCAAGTACTAATAACGACTCATGAATAATATTTGAGGACACCGGGTTAAATCATCCCACCTTTAGGCCCCGTTTGGTAGGGCTCCAAACTCCAACTCCTAACTCTAAACTCCCACTCCAGTGAGAGCTAGCTCCTGTGGGAGTAGATACCCATTGAAAAAGTGTTTGGCTGACTTTTTAGCTCCAGATCTGAAATTGCCTTAAAAAAAATAAAAATCCCCAATCCCTCCCCGCGCGCGCCGCCCTTCCCCTGCCATGCGCCGCCCTTTGCCGGCCACGCTCCGCCACCCGCCGTCGGCGGCCCTATCCCCGCCCTTGCGTCTCCCACGCGCTGCCGCCCTGTCCCCGCCCGTGCGCCATCCTCGCCAGTCGCCGCCCTTGTGTCGCCGCGGTGGCGGACGAGCGAGCTCTGCCCTTTCGCCGCCTGCGCGCCGTCCCCGCCAGTCGCCATCCGCTCGTCGTCCTGTCTCTCGCCACCTGTGCGCCCGTGCGCTGTCCTGCCCACGCGTCGCCGACCCGCCGCCGCCCGCGCACCTGCTGTCGTCGCCGCCACCCGCTGCCACCGACGCCCGCTGCCCGCCGCTACCGACGCCGACGCCAATGCCGAACGCCGGTGTGAAGGGAGAAAGATTGGGAGGAGAGAGAACGGGAGATGGGGTAGATAGGGTAGTTCAATGGTATTTTGGTGTAAATATCCTTAAAAAATTAAAGGGTAGTGGGTCTTTTAGGGTGGAGTGGAGCTGTGGAGCAGCAAAACCCAGCTCCACCCCCATAGTACAAATTTGTAGAGCAGCTCTGCTAACTCCGCTCCAGAAAATAGAGAATCTGTACCGTTTGGCACAGCTCCAGCTCTAGGTAAGTTGGAGTTGGGAGCTGGAGCTGTGCCAAACGGGGCCTTAATGTCTTCTCAACCAGTTGCTGACTTCAATTCAAGGATTTCAGCCATTGAAGGTCGCCTCCTGACGATCGTTATACGCCTAATATAATGCACGCAAAATTCCACTGCTTGATTTTTTTTTCCATCTTACACGTGTTCTCTTGGTTCGGACCAATGTGTACGTCGTGCCAAACTAGGTCAACGTAGCGATGCTTGGCTAGCAGCAGCTGGTCAACCAGCCTCGTTAATTTAGCCAGTGGCAAAACAATTGTCATGCGTTGCGTCACGGGGAGCTCAATCCCAAAACGGCTGATGAATTGCATGAAGGGATGAACAAGTTCACGAAAAATCCCGATCAACCGATGCTCGTTTCTGATTTCTATCGATCGACTGATCAATATGAAATTTATAGTCATCGTGAACGAACTGCTTCATCCGTTCCACAATGTAAGCCATTCTAATATTTCTCATATTTATATCTAGATTTATTAACATCAATACGAATGTGAGAAATGCTAAAAAGACTTATATTGTGAAACGGGAGAGCAATAAAACTTATATAAATGAAAACGGAAATTGTTTTGGTGTTGTATCGTCCATTTATTTCGTATTCCACCTTATTTTTATAATATGGTAAGTACAATATTATTAAACCCCCTTTATCTACATAATATATACTCTCTCCGTTTCATCATTTATATAATGTGAAAAATGTTAAAATGACTTAGATTCTATTTGATCCATAGTTTAGAGGCACATTAACTCTTCAACCAAATTCTTTAACTTGAGTGCATATAGTAATGTAGAGAATATTTTTTATCAGTCTGCAATCGACGTCGATATGTTTATGTTCATTTTTTTCATAATTTTTTTAAACTGTTTTTTTTCTTGTTTTGCTGTTTTTATTATGTTTAGAGTGTCCGACCACTTCTTTTCTCGGGGCATTGCCAATTCAAGATCAAAATATCTTCCGCACATGTTGAAAACATCTCTGCTCGTATTATTGGGTTCAGTGCATTTTCTGGCAAGTCAGGTGCTTCACGCATGCGTGGCTGGCGTGCATATCTCTCTATACCTGCACACAGGAATATCAACATACTCACGCGGCACACATGTGCGTGTCTCACGCCAAAGCCATCCATTGGTATTCTCGCGAATTAGACGTGACACTGATAATCTGATCTCCAGTAACAAAACGTACGTTGATCGGACACTACACAGTACACACACGTCGACCGACTGATTTTGTAGGCATTTCGAGAGTCGGTTTCCGATCCCGGGACTTCTTTTGGTTTGGATTAGTTCTACACAAATCTGACGACATCCGATCCGATCCCCACAATGTTTGGATTAGAGCCACCATTTTCTAATGTGTAGTTCTTACGACTAATTCAGCCGAACTGCCCAAACGGGTACGTACGTACTTCACCCCCAAGTCTTCATATGTTTCTGCGGTTTCTTCTTGATGAAGACCACACGACGCTAATTTCAAACGGTTTCCCCCAAAATTTGCGATGCCTTTTTTCACTAGCGAAATGATGATGCGTGCAAGCGATCCACGTACAACCTGTCACGAGGAGGCGAGCAGAGCAGAAAAAGAGAAAGCGAACTGCTACTCCAGCAAAGCCGATCACGTGAGGTGTTACAAGTGGGTGGTCTCTGTATTTCCGGAACTGACTTGACCGTCACGAAGCACATCAATCCGTGGAGGAGTACAAACAAAAGTTGCCGAATGCCAAGTCGAACACAGGTCGAGCACGGCGCACACAAACACACGAACTTCCGTCCGTACTAAAATATAAATATTTTTATACTTTAACATGATCTCAGAGATACTAATTTAATTAATAATATATATAAAAGTAAGATGTTTTAAATAAAAAAAGAGTTACACATTATGATAGATTGTTTAATAATAAATCTAATAACATCAATTTTATATAATTAATTTTTTATTAATAGTTAAAATTGAAAACGTTTAACTCGCCATTATACTATCCAGACGAAAACTCAAAAACTCCCGTAACCGTAGGATGATCAGATGGTCAACGGCGATGGCAAAGGTCAGCGTTTGGTTTACCACGCCTTCGTCCGGCGGTGGGCCGGTGGGGCCCACCTGGAAGTCTAATTATTACTAGACCGAGAAATAAACAACTTGCTTCACAAGAACATCGTGGGTGGGAACGAGCGAAAGCAATCTTAAGCGCCAAGAAAAATACGCACAAGAGAGAAGAGTAGGCGCGGTTTTGTGGCCGGAGAGAAAGCCACGCGCCGGTTTCGTGCCGGAGTATCATTTTCGTTTTCTTTTTTTCTCCCTTTCTTTTTTTCGCATTAACGGACGTTTCGTACTAAGCTGGTATACAACAAGGAGACCGGCTGGGCGCCTGGGCCTGTCCAGGTGAAGTAAAGGGCAAAGTCGGTACTAATCGGTATAGTCAGCGTGCTTCACATGCGACAACTCTGACCCAAGGTGAAGTAAAGAGCCAAGTCTTTATGTACGACAGTACGAGCAAGGACTAGTACTAGTAGAAGTGCTATGCTGAATTTTGCTATTGTTAGGAAACAATTTTTTGGTTTATATAATTAACCAAACTCATACAATCAAATGTGTATGCATGAAATTGAAATGTAACCGTTTTTTAGACCAATTTTCTTATATTAATTAATTTATTATAGAGGAGAAATATTTTTTTCTTTTTTTAAGGGAAGGAGCACTATTCTTTCCGTTCAAGTAAGTAGTAGTCCAGACCAAAAAAGAAATAAAAAAACAACTGGCGCAAGTAAAACAGGTTCGGGGGCAAACTAGACATTTCTAGACTTCTCTACCAAGGCATCTCCTTCTGTCCTTCATCAGGGGCAAAACCGCCATTACCATTACCAACAAACGCAAAGAAGACTCGGGCGGGCGCCGCCCCAGAACACAAGTGAGAAAAAAAAAAAACCGACCTCCTCGCCGACGTGCTCTTCAAGAGACCGACCCCCCGCCGCGGCCTCAACCTATATATTCATCCCCACCTCCTCCGTCTTCCGCTCCCACTTGATCCCGATCGCCATTTCTCCACCTGCACATCTGCGCGCGCGCGCGGGAGAGCAGAGGCGGCGAGAGAGATCCGGGTCGGGAGGGGTGATGGACTTCTCCGGCGACGTCAAGCCGGCGATCCACCGGCCCTCTGTCGCGGCGGCACGCGGGGGAGGGAACGGTGGGGCGATCCCGCTCCTGCGTGGGTGGCAGGCGTTCCGGAGGAGCGGCGCGCCGGCGAGGCTCCTCTGCTTCGAGGGCGGCGCGTGGGCGGACGTCGCGGGCGAGGTGGTGGGGCTGCTGCGGCGGGCGTTCATGGAGGGGAAGGCCGTTTGCGAGGCCGCCTGCGGTGGGAGGGTGTTCCTGTTCGACTTCATGCGGATGGTTCGGATCGATGAGGCCACCGCCGAGGAGGCCGCGCTGGGGTGGATCGACGACCGCGGCGCGTGCTTCTTCCCGGCTCCCGAGGGCGGGAGGAAGAGGAAGAGGGAGAGGGACGAGGCGGGGTCGGAGGTGAAGGGGGAGGATCGGCGGCGGCGGCAGCCGGCGGCGGAGGAGGAGGACGGGGACGAGGCGTCGTCCGGCGTGGAGGAGCGGTCCGGGGAGAGCCGCCCCGAGGCGGATGAGCCCGACAGGAAGAAGGCGCGCGGGACGTTGTGGGGGAAGGCGGTGAGGCTGGACGAGGCGGACAAGTTCTACAAGGTGGTGGAGAAGCTCTTCGTCAGCCGGATGGCTCCCGTGGCGGCGGCCCGCGGCGTGGCGATCACGGCGGTGCACAAGGTCGCGCAGGGGCCCCGGGCAAGAGCCTTCCATCTGCAGGGACAGCTCCTTGCCGCTGCTCGCGGCGTCGGCGATGGCAGCAACGCCAAGTTCGCGTGGTACGGCGCGCCGGCGGCGGATGTGGCCGCGGCGGTGGAGCACGGCTTCGGGAGGACGAACGGGCAGTTTCTCGGCGGGCGCGCACACGGCGACGGCGTTCACCTTTCGCCGCCGCAGTACCCTCACGCTAGGTGAGTTTCCCAAATGCTTTCAACTCTTTCCATCTGCAAATGCTTTGAACTATTGGGGAGAACATTTTTAGTAATTTCTGAAAATTCACCAAGTGCCTCATATATTTCATCTTTCGATATTACCATACGAATCTTGAGTAAAATTATTTTCTGCCTGCCATCTTGGTGCTAAACAATGAAACTACCAATCGTTGTTTTGCATCTAAGTTTGAATTTAGAGCAAATTAGACAGTATGGTACAGTAGCTACCTAAATTGTTATAAATTGGGATGAAATTTGTGAGTCAATGTTCAACTAAGTTAACGAGTTAATTAACTTGTCTTCGAGCAGTGCGATGCTGACCAAGCCAGACGAGAATGGCGAGGCACACATCGTGCTGTGCCGCGTCCTGATGGGCCGTCCAGAGGCCGTCCCTGCCAGCTCACCCCAATTCCACCCCAGCAGCGACGAATACGACAGCGCCGTCGACAACCTTGAGAATCCGCGGTGGTACGTTGTATGGAGCACAGACATGAACACCAGGATCCTCCCAGAGTACGTGGTCAGCTTCAGGTGGCCCAACCTGCCGCAGATGGAAGGTTGGTCTCTCGTGTCTGAAATTTGCTGGATGGAACTGTTCCCATTTGGCACTGCCATAACAGTGAAACTGTGGTTTTCAGGATCATCGGGGTTGGGATCGAAGCTGAAGAAGCCATCACCAGCAGCTACTCGCGACATGTTCCCTATGCTTCTGACGGAGATCCAGCGGTTCGTTCCATCCCCGAAGCTGCAGACTTTGCAGAGGACGTACAACTGCTTCAAGGTAAACTGGTACTTCTTGCTGAGCATTTCATTTCTAGATAGATGATTGATTAGAATCTTGCGCTAGCTTACACAAAACAACCCCTTCGCGCTTATGATCATGCCTGTAAGTCAAAATTTAATATAAGAGTTGATTTTGTGGTTTTTTTAGTTGTTTATTTTACCGCATGAACACGTATAAAAAAGGTTTTACTATACCTTTTTTTGGTTAATAAATTGTTTGGATAAGTAAAAGCGAAACAATGGGCTGAAACACAACTGCTGATCTGCTAGGTGAATTTAGGCCCTGTTTAATTCAGCTTAGGATTATTATAATCTGGATTATTAGGATTAAGCTGAAACAAATAAGTAGATTATTATGTTAGATTATTATAATTTATAAGCCAGATTACTATAATATAATAATCTCCTCTAGAGGAGCTTAGATTACTATAATCTAATAATCTCCTCTAGAGAAGCTTTTTCTAGATTATTGAGTAGCTAAAGACCCACTACCCTTAGATGCCTCTAATAATCCAGAGAAACAAACAACTCGTAGCTTATTTTATGTTAGCTTATTATAATTCAGCTTAGAGTAATCTGATTTAATAATTTAGATTACAATAATCTTAAGCTGAAACAAACGGGGCCTTAGTCTTACATATAGTTGAACAATTTTGCTCTGCCTGGTTTGTGTTGTATTCAGGTCTAACTCTTCACTATACGCAATAATTAGCACGTAAAAATGTTGATTTGTACCGCACTGCTATGGTTTTAATATGATCATGCCGACTTTATTCTGTAGTAATATGCTGCCGACTTTATTCTGTAGTAGAACAGAATCATCTACCTGTCAATATTCTGTGCAAAGCGAATTCAGCTCAGCATAACGGCGTTATAACTTTAAGCGAAGCTGAAGTCCTGAAAATCCAATGACATAAATTTTCTTTTTGTTTCAGAGAGGACAGATGAAGAAGGACCAGTTCATCCGGTTCTTGCGCTCCCACATCGGCGACAATGTGTTGACCACCGTGGCCAAGAAACTCCGAGGGTACTAGTGCAAGGTGCAAATTTGTCTCCACTCCGTGGCTGAATTCGACTAACTCCGTAGAATCGAACAGTGCGTGTCGTGTACCAATCCTGACAGGGTTTATTCTCTTCTGATGCTGCTTTAGTTTTTCCGGTGCTCAAATGTTTATTGTCATGAACATAGAGGGGGTTTACTGTGATCTTCCAATTAACCAACACAAAAGGGTATATGTGATATGATGCAAATTATGCAATTCTTGAGTTCGGTCATAGTTTTACTTATTTTCAGCAACTTGTAATTTGTACAGACTCGATTCTGTTGAGCTTTTGATTCAGGAAACAATCAATTCAGTTTCGGGAGTTTACGGAGCTTTGATGTAAAATTGTATTGTTGTCTTTTCCCCGTTTTTTCGACTCGGGAATCGGGATCATGTGGTTAGTTTAGCGCACGATCTGCGTACGTGCTCTCCTTGGTAGTCTCGTAGATCGCGGTCATAGTGTGAAACGCCTCCGTGATCCCCGCACAGATTAGCCATAATGGCTGCGTTCTTTCAGGGGAGATATGGGAGATTGTCTCTTGTTTTTCGTACGCACATTTTTCAAACTACTAAACGGTGCGTCTTTCGTAAAAATTTTCTATAGAAAAATTACTTTAAAAAACCATATTAATCCATTTTTTAAAGTTTAAAATAGTTAATACTCAATTAATCATGCGCTAATGATTCACCTCATTTTACGTATCTTTCCAATCTTCTTTATTTCCTTCTCCTCAAACAAATGGTCTGCAGATTGAGCGTACACTGTTATCTCACACGTGTCCTGCCACGCGGCATACGGATCGTGTTTGGTCGGTAAGCGGCATCCTCGGCGGCCGCGTGAATCAATGATATGTTTTTAAGCGTTGGAATCTTCTAAAAATGAAAATGAAATAAAGATTACTAAATATTTTATATAAAACGAGATGGTTATAACTGTAATTAATTAAGTTTTAATTATTAGAAATTTAAAAAATAGATTAATCTTATATTCCCTCCGTCTCTAAATATTTAACGACGTTAACTTTTTTAAACATGTTTGACCATTCGTCTTATTCAAAAAATTTAATAATTATTAATTATTTTCATATCATTTGGTTTATTGTTAAATATATTTGTATATATATATATAGTTTTACATATTTCATAAAAAAAATTTAAATAAGACGAACGATTAAACATGTTTTAAAAAGTCAACGGCGTCAATATTTCGGGACGGAGGGAGTATTTTGGGCCGTTTTGGATTGAAGACAAAACATGACCCTTTATCCACGCTCAATTTGGATTGAAGACAAACAATTCGTAGTGCCCACGCTCAATTTAGCTACATTCTAGAATCTTTTTTACTCTCATACTAAATTTTGACTTTATATTGGTATTAAACCAAACATAAACTAGCTAACTTTGTCCTACCAAAAAATTGATAGTGCCAAAATTTGCCTAGATTTTGGCACTACCAATTAATTGGTAGGGTAGAGAACCAAATAGGCCCTTTATAATAACTTTCATATAGAAAGTTTTCGCACGAAACGTATCGTTTAGCAGTTTGAAAAGCGTGCCACTTTCAACTAATACCTCTATTTTAGTTTATAAGATTTTCTAGCATTGCCCATGTTAGATTCATTAAATCTATATAAACGTGGGTAATGCTAGAAAGTTTTATAACCTGAAACGGAGGAAGTAAAACTTTATCCACTTTTCGTTGAAGAAAATAACAGGCACAATGAACTCTGCCTGCAGCAAACCGATGACAATGACAAACGTCGTGTGCATGCTTCGTTCGCGTGGTTGTCTACTTTGAGTCCATCTACCTGTCCCGCTGTCCATGGCAACCAAGCAAGGAAGGATTAATTTCGTCGATCTGACGGTGCCACAGCCCACAGAACAAAAGAGAGAACGATGCAACGCCGGCGGCATCCGTGAACTCTTGGAGCAGATGTACTGTGTACAACGGCGATCGCAGCGTCTCCTCCAGCGGCGGCAGTCGGCCTCCGGCCATCAGCACCCGCTCACCAGTCACCATAGCGTAGGAGAGGTAACCACCGCCGCGCCCCGTTAGTTTTACCTTCTCTGCCCACCGCCGCCTAAATCTTCTTCGCTCGAGGGGGCAAGGGGATCCATCGTCCAACGAATCCATCCGCGAGGCCGGCCGGAGAAGCGGAAACCTGTCAGCGAGAGGACAGCTCAACAGCCGGCCATCTACATCTACCATTCTAATTTTGAGAAAACATTTTTCAGGGCTTGATCCGAAACACTGGGGATCTAAGTGCATTTTTCAGGGCTTGATCCGAAACACTGGGGATCTAAGTGCAAAGCTATACTCCCTCCGTCCCAAAATAAATACAGTTGTGGGTTTCATGTCCAACATTTGACACATCCATCTTATTTGAAAAAAAATATGATTAGTACTTTTATTAGTGTTATATGATAAAACATGAATAATACTTTATGTGTGACTATTTTATTTTAATTTTTCATAAATTTTTTAAATAAGACGGACGGTTAAACGTTGAACCCGGAAACCCACAAGTTCATTTATTTTGAGACGGATGTAGTGTAATATATGGGGATCTAATGGCAACAATGCTACACGTCAGGCGCCGGTTGCTTTCAAAAATATCGAACGGTCACATACTCGGTACACAATATATGCTTCTTTCCCTCTTTGTGCATGCACGTAGGAGTAAGTATAACGCGAGCTTTAAAATTATTTTTTTCATAAAACTATTTATCTGATCTATGATTTGATTATATTTTTGTGTTCTTTATAATAACATCGCACATGATTATATTCTGATAAACTCTTAATTTGATGTTTGGTGCATTAGAGTAAATGTTTCAATTGGTAATTGAATTTGTTGCACATATTTAAGTTTTTACGTTGCATTAGAGTAAATCTTTCGCCGCCGCAGTACCCTTATGCTAAACCAATGCGAACAACTAAACACCTACACATGTATCCTCTTGTCTAGACTAAACAGTCTTTGTGCATCCAACCAAACAAAATCTTCATATAGTATCTTTTGTGAAATTAATCAAACAAAATCTTATAGTAGCTAGGCTAAACCAATACGAACAACCAAATGCATGCACGTGTATCCAGCGGCGGAGATAGCTCCCGGGCAGGTCGGGCGGTCTCCTGGGCTCCACCGCTGCCGTTTCAATTGCCGTAGCAGTCGGTCACTAACAAACGTTACTAATCGCCTAGGCTTTACGGCGGTGTTGGCTCCGTCACTGCGTGTATCTTTTGTCCGGTCTAAACCCAACCTAGATGAGAGAAATGGGCTAGACTAGAAGGATATAAGCAACCAAACACATTCTAAATCGGTGCGAAGTACTGGTAATACTGTAGTAGGGACCATAGTGCAAATATGATCCTATTTAGATGGGCCGCATACTGCACTGACACTGGATAACAAGTGTGGGCTTTTACATGGTCCACAATTCGCCAGGACGTACGGGATTTACTGCAGCGCTCTGCACCCTCACCCCGTCTGTCCACGGACGACTAATCTGAGCGAGATCAAATCCTCTGCAGCTCAGTTAATTTATCTAACCACCACCCAAAACCGATCCACACAAAAGCAAAAAAACCCATGCTACTTGTCACGTTGCCGTCTCATCTCACCACCAGCATCAACACAAAAAATTACTCCTACTACTTCACCTGACCACCAACAGGGTCACTGTCGCGTTTGCTCGATACTAGCAATCCTCCCCCGTTGTCGCCGCCCCACCACCACTCACCTGAATCTATGGTCATGTGTGGCCTAACCCAAACCCGTCTCTTCCTGCAAGCAGCTACCGACAACGATGGCTTCAACGGCGACGCACTGAATCGAGACGGCCGTGCGTGTGCGCGCATAGTTTTTTTTTTTTTTTTTTTGTCGTTCCATCGGTTGGCGTCCGCAGAACACGTTTCCCAAATCTTGTACTACTACGTACTACTCCATCGACGCTCGCCAATGCGAAAAAAGATTGCAATTTGAGTAGCAGCACGGCTGTGGACAGCAGCGGATGTGAGGCGGGTAGGCACGGAGGAAAATGGCAGTCGACCTCGTCGCCTACAAATACCCGCTCGCTCTCTTCCTCCTCCCCTTCCTTCCACTCGTCTCGCCATTAACAAGAATTCTTTTTTTCCTTCCCCCAAATCCTTCTCGAGCAACAGCTAGGGGGGAGTGGTTCGCTTCGTAAGAAGCCGGCTACCTCTGCTCGATCCCGCCTTTGCCTGCGGATTCCCACCCTGATTTTCGCCGTTTGTTTGTTTAGTTTCTTGGGGCAAATTCGAGACGAGGGGAGGAGAGTTTTTTTGGGGGGGAGTTGTTGCGGCCTTGCGGGCGGGGTATGCGGCTGCACGGGGAGGTTTCCTTCGATGAGGACGAGGAGGAAGTGGTGATGGTTCCGGCGGCGGCGCTGTCGTCGTCGCCGCTCAACGGCGGGGCCGTTCCGGTGACGAGGCTCGTGGTGGGGTACGCCCTCACCAAGAAGAAGGTGAAGAGCTTCCTTCAGCCCAATCTGCTGTTGCTGGCGAGGTAAAAACCTGGATCAACGCTCAAAGAGATGAACCTGCTGATTCGTGGCCGTGGTGGAGGATTTTGGGAGACAATAGAGTATTTTTGTTGGATTTCTTGTTGATCGAGTGGCAACGAAATTTTTTTCACTAAAACCAGAATTTTTTGCTGTTGGAGGGAAATGGTAAATGATTTGAGGGGGGAATGCATGGTTTATGAGATACAGTTTTGCATTTTGAGTCTTTGATTAAATGCTGTAATTGGTTCTATTTCTGAAGCCCAGAGGATTTTTGCGAGAACAGGTAAAAAACTTGGTAGTTCCATAACAAAATGGGGGGTGGGAATGGAATGCAATTCTATTCCTTGTAGCACTAATCAAGTAGTGATCGAATCGAACCTCTACTGGAGTATAAAGTTAGCAGGGGCGGCTAGTGATAGTGGATTCTGGGCGAAGCTTGCTGCATTTGCGATATATTGTAAACTGAAGAATATGGCTAGTGTTTATTAGGAATTCTGGTAGCATTTGTAGATGCCCCCTTACGTGCGTCTCATGTTGACAGTTCCACTGCATGCGGGGGTCTCTATAGTCTATAATTGTATATTATCATGCCAACTTGTCAAAAATGGGTCTTAGCATGCAAATCTTTGCTACTTGGTGTCTGGGATTCTAGTTTGGAATATTCCCATAATCCCATGGATAAGCACATCACATGGATTACGACAGCTTTAGTGATGGCAATGCCTTTTCTGGGATCGTTTACAATTTAGTGACTGACTTGCTAGGTTTGATGGCAACATGGACCGCTGACAAACGATCTTTGTGATTGTCTTGTTAGCTCCCTGAATCAAGATCCAAGCTGACTAGCTGAGTCAATCATTTGCTAGTTGCTCGGTAGGCTGCAGACATAAGCAACACAAGCTGAAATATAGAAGGGAAATGAAATTAATATATGAAATACTTATGCAAAATCAAAATGTTTTTGCTTAAAACTATTTGTGTATTGCATGCCTAGTTTGTGCTTTTGTTTCGATAGATTTATTGTTTAGTTATTCCAAGAAAATAAAGGAAACAATATATATTTATGCAAAATCCAACTATATTCATTCAAACAACCTGCATATTCTCTAAACGCTTTTTTATATCCCTGTAGTAGTCTTATTTTCAAAGTATAATTGAGAAATACTCTGTTGCAAGGCAGTTTAACTTTTTTTTATCATTCTTATTTATACTATCGATAGAGTATAAATGTAGCCCAAACGACATGTTATACATGGAGAGATGATGATGTACTAAAAAAATTCTTGATTCTGTGAGGGCTTGGACTTGGTCAAGATGGCTATTGTACTTCCATATGGATGTTAGGATCCATTTCTGTTTCTTGCCATTCTTCTTGTATAACACTATTTCATGATGTTTCATTATGTACTGTGTCAGGAAGAAGGGAATTAATCTTGTAGCAATTGATGACACTCGCCCGCTTGCAGAACAAGGCCCATTTGATGTTATCTTGCACAAGGTTAGTCGTGACCTTTTTAAAGCTGGACTAAAATAGTGCTGCCCATTGGCCCTGTATGATGCATTTTGTTAAAGAATAACATCATCTATTTATGAGCTTTAGTTATAATTAATGTTTTCTGATAATTATGTCATTGTAATTTGGTAAAGTATATGCATATTTTATTGAAGAAATTTCTTTGTGCAGATTACTAGCAAGGAATGGCAACAGGTTCTGGAGGTAAGATCTGAGTACGTATGCAGAAATCTGATGATGCACAGTAAATGACCATACCATCGTTGCCTTTTTTCTACTTGTTCACTGCCTCATCATGGGGAAATATGTTATCAACTGAGGAAATGAGCAGTAGATGTTTGTCACTGTATGTAATGATTATATATCCAAACTATTTGATTGCAGTGCCCTATTGTAAAGCTCAACATAAATCCATAATTCTTGGAATTTGCTGTTGGCTTCTAATCTGTGTTGCCCATTTATTGAAACTCTCTGTTAACCTAACTCCTTTCACTTTCCTGAAGGATTATCATGAGGAACATCCAGAGGTTACTGTCCTTGACCCACCAAATGCCATCAATCATCTGAATAATCGGCAATCTATGCTTGCAGAAGTATCTGATTTGAACTTATCCAGTTTCTATGGTAATCATGAAGCTTAACATGTATATTTATATGCTATAAAATGGATTCGTTATTTTACTTTCCATTTCTAATGTTTATAATGTTAGTTAGTGTCTGTTTAATTATCGAATATATTCACATGTCAGGGAAGCACTGGTCATGTGGTGTAGTCGTAGGTACTCCACCTGCCAGGGTTCAAATCCTGATGCTCACGAATATTATGCACACCCAAGTGGGCTTTCACTAGAAACTTAGTGAGATCAGCGATTGTCGTTGGTTTCTGTCTCTTAGAGTGTGTGTTAGGGGCGCATCAGTTGAGTTAGTGTGGTGCGCGCGCGTGTGCGTCTGCCGTGTAGTCGCAAAAAAGAAAAATATATTCACATTTAAACTTCTGTCCTAGAATGGAAGAAACTTTTGCTTTCAAAAGCGATGTGCAGAATATTTATCCTTCTAAGATAAACAATATATATTTTCTATTCCTTGTGAACCTCAGGATTCAGGAATTTCCAATTAATGCTGCTATGTAATTCTTTCTTCAAACAAAAGAAATTTGTGTTAACTCTTAGAAATGCTGAAATTCCCAATAGAAACCCATAGATTTTTTTGCTTTGCAGAGATTTCAAGGACAAATGTTGCTTGATTGGGAAACATTATTTCTTTGCAGCTGGTTGTGAATACAATGTACCGAGATAGTAAAAGGCAGAATTCCAAAAGTGTATCATCAACTAAATCTATTGAGGGCATATCTATTCATACCAATATATGATTGTTTATGCATTGAACCATTGCAGGAGAAGTTTGCACTCCACGCCAACTGGTCATTATGAGAGATCCATCCTCTATACCAACCGCAGTTGCCATGGCTGGACTAACCTTGCCCTTGGGTAATTGGTCATAATCTACATCTTAAAACTATCCATTTCCTCTAGATAAGAAAACATTGCCAAATCATGCGAATGTTTAAATACAGCGGAAAAATATTCAACATTTTTATTCCGGCAATATTTTTTCACCTGGCCATTCTCAGTTCGTTTTTGAACATGCGGTCTGTTTTTCAGATAATATTTAAGCATGGTTCGTTGATAGTTAATTTTGGGAGATGTTCTCTTTTCATTCTTGGAACTATTGAGCTTAGAAATTGTTTGATGCGAAGTGCTTCTGTCTATACAGTTGCGAAGCCATTGGTTGTTGATGGAACATCTAAATCCCACGAACTATCTCTTGCATATGATGAGGCATCCTTATCAATGCTTGATCCTCCTCTGGTCCTCCAGGAATTTGTGAACCATGGTAAGTTCTGTTCCCCCCCTGTAACTGTAGTACTTTTGCATATCCTGAGACTTTTTCCTCCAACGGTAGAAGTTCGGACCTAAACTATTCCCTCTACAGGTGGGATCCTCTTTAAGGTGTACATCATTGGTGAAACTATACAAGTTGTACGGAGGTTTTCTCTTCCTGATGTTAACACTTATGACTTATTAAACAATGTTGGCGTCTATCGATTTCCAAGAGTTTCATGTGCTGCAGCTAGTGCAGACCATGCAGACCTCGATCCTCATATCTCAGGTGAGACATCTGCAGTATTGTAGTTAATCTTCATTTTGGTTATTATTGATCCATGCTTCATTAATGTAAGAGGGGGCACTAAATTCAAACACAAACTTTCTTTAGAACCTTAACGCAGTGTACATGGTAAAGAGTTTTTATGTTTCCTTACCATATATCAAGTCGAGGACAGCGTTTGTTCTATGACATCGATACTTCTTGATTTATTTTGCTTTTGATGAGTAGTCGACGGCACCAGATAAACTTTTGCTATATATTGATCAGAACTTTCTGTTACATGATAGAACTTCCTCCAAGACCACTCCTAGAGAAACTGGGAAAAGAGCTTCGTGGAAGACTGGTATGGCCATGTATTTATATTAACCAAGCTCTGTTTCATATGGTCGTCATCTGACAGGCTTAAAAATTTCAGGGTTTAAGATTGTTCAACATAGATATGATCAGAGAACTTGGAACCAAAGATCGGTACTATATAATTGACATCAACTACTTCCCAGGTGTGCAGTTATTTTCCCACTGCCTTCATAAATGGCATACTATCATTTGCGTTTCTTTTCTTCTCTTCATATGTTCGTGCAGAATTTGTTAGGCCTGATTTTATTCCAGCCTAAGGGGAAAGGAGGATACATCGCTACACATACCTGGACTTCTAGGCCAAATTAATACTGATCCAGTTTATCCAGTAGTACTTTGTCGTCTCGAATTTCTGTGTTCTTGTTATTTAACACAGCATGATCATTGTTCTGCAGCAGCATTTTCTTGAGTGTACGCTCACTCCCTCTTGCTTGCGCAGGGTTCGGGAAAATGCCAGGTTATGAGCACATATTCACCGATTTCTTGCTGAATCTTGCGCAAAGCAAGTACAAGAAGTGCTTAAGCGGCGGCTGAAGTGCAAAGAGTCCTGCTGAACATTAACAAAATGGAATGTAACGGTCTAGCAGTCAGTGTACATATCTCGGAGAAATAAGTTTAATCCCAAGGCTTTGAGGAAGAGAGATTTAGGGTGTCTTCCCAGAAAATGGTGGCACTTACCGGATTAGAGAAGAGATGAAAAAATGGATCGATTTTCTAATGCCGAGTGCTTGTATAAATCACTAACACTGAATGTTCCCAGCGTGCCTTCGTCAAGGCTTCTGTCTCAATAATTTCATTATCTTTTTCATGAGCAATCCTTTTAGAATGCTTGGTTCTCTCTGGAAACTGCAATGTGGTGCTGTCAACTGTGGCTTCTGTCTCCATAATTACAGTGCTTGTTTCTCCCTGGAAACTGCAATGTAGTGCTGATTCTCCGCTGAGTGCTGATTGCCTGATCATTAAATAGTCTGCGATGTATGGAGGATGTCATTATCAAACTGTTCTTGTGAAGATATTGAGATGATGGAACGAAGTAGACACTAGCATTCATACCGTCGTTTATTTGTTTAGCCGTTTCTAGTTATTTATATATTTATTTTCGCTAACGCTGTATTTTGTTTGGCATGTTTGCTAATAAACGCAGGCAGTGACAATACTTATTCCTCTTCCTGCAACCCTGTTTCCGGAGCCCATCGGAAACTTTCTTCTTGTATCTGATGTTAGCCCAGAAGACTAGAGACAATAGGAGCCCAAGAGAGCGTGAAGCCTCAACTAGCGTAAAACGGCGAGGATTCTGCGGAGGAATAAATCCACTTTGACTCTCTTAATTTAAGGTAAAATCTGATATGTATCCCTACCAGATATCTTAACCCCTTAATAACTATTAAAACTGTGAAATTTAACTTTGTCGACGGTTTTCGCTAACATGTCACATTGGCATAGTTCAATAGATTAAGTTAGCATGTGAGACCCACCTATCAGTGATTCTTCTCTTTCTCTTCCTTTCCTTACCTCTCCTCTCAAATGTAGTATTTTCTCTCGGCAGTAGGGTAGCAGCGAGACAATGGCGGGCAATCCTTCAGGCGCTCGGCTGTGAGCCTGTGACGAGCCCCCCACCACCTCGGCAGCTTGGACAGCGGAGCCATGCCACCGTAGCTATAGAGCTTGGTCCAGTGCAGAGGAGGAAGGGGTGATGGCGGGCGGTCCTTCAAGCGCTCGGCCACGGTGAGCCTCGGCATGGATGGCAGAGCAACAAGAAAGTTTGGCCTCGTTGGCTCGGTGTATAGGAGGGAGGGGAGACGGATGGCAATCCTCCAGGTGCTCATCAGGACAAGACCCCTGCCACCTCGGCGGCTTGGATGGTGGAGTCGCTCCGCCGTAGCGATGGAGCTCGGTCCCGTTGGCCCGACGCTGAGAAGGGAGGGACGATGGCGGTGATGGGGTGTTGGAGAGGCCTGGCACCGTTGCACTAGTTAAGGGGGTGGGGGTTTACAATAGGGGGCTAGAGATGGCAGGTGAAGAGAAGTGGCGGTGGCAGCGAGGAGACGAAGAAGTGGCGCATGCTGACTCCACAAACTCCTCAAGCTCCGCGACAGCGACATGATGAGTTGAATCGAGGACGACAACCATGACCACCCGTCTTCTAACATCGTTGAAGGACACCAATCCACAACGTGGACAAGGACGGCCACTGCTCCGCGCGTGGCAGCAGCGGGCCAGCGGCGGGGGGAGCACGGGGTGGGAGGGTGTCGCTGATGGCACTGCTGGAGCAGGCGAAACGGCAATGGGTGACGGTGGCCGGGGATGCCAATCGGAGGCACGTCGTGGAGGACCACGCGATAGCGGCGATGGCGGAGGAGGAATGGATGAACAAGGGCGTCCTCGCCGCCGATGAGGTGGCCGCAGCAGAGGCCGGGCCCGAGGATGTAGAGCAGAGGGAGGGCAGCTTGCACGGAGGATGTGGTAGCGTTGTGCCCGTGGTGGCGCGGCTGGGTGGACATGGAGGCGTGAAGAGGAAAGAGGAGAAGAAAGGAGAGGAAGAGGGACTCTGACATGTAGGTCTGTCTCAGTCAGTTGGACTAGTAACGAGCCACGTCAGCAAAAACTGGTCTAAAAACCATCAAGAGAGTTAAATTGTACGGTTTTAATAAGCTAGAGGGTGAAAATGTATGGTATTACGGTTGAGAGATACGAATCATATTAGACCTAAAATTGAGGGAGTCAGAGTAGACTTCTTTTGCGGAAAACCGGTGCCATTCGTCCCGCTAATCCGCCAAGGATCGCGCGGTGGAATCGCCGACGCCGCGCCGCTGTTTACGTACCAATCACCCGGTGCCGCTCAGAGCAGGTACAATAGCAGGCTATTAGCCAGCTATAAACATATTTTAATGGGATAAATGATAATAGAGAAGAGCAGCGGGCTACAAATCTGTAGCCAGCTGCAGTACAGACTCCAAAACACACTATGTGTATAATAGGTGGGACCATATATGAATAATATAGTAAGCAGCTATTATATAAATTGGCTATTAGATTAACTATAGATGAATTGGAGACTGTACTATTAGACTTGCTCTCACGCACCCGCGCCCCATGGCCCAAAGCCCCAAACACCGAAACACGGGCTCGTCGCGGTGTTGAACGCGTCCCCGCGCCGTGAGTTTGTGACCGCGTGCCGCCTTCTCTCCCGCCTGGGCCGGCACGCCCGATACGGTAGCACGCGGGCCCGGAAGCGTTTCTCCATCGGCTTCTCACTTCTGGCCCAGGCCGTGTTGCCGTGTTGGTTCATAGGTTCTACTCCTACTTCTGTCTAACTAATCCCCTTCATCAGCGACAGGCTCCGTCTCCACCCACCACACACATCAAGGCTGCTGCTGCTGCCTGCCGCTGCTGATGCATCCAACCACGCGCGATTTGACTCCCCAACCGAGCAGTGAAACAACCGGGGAGGGGAGGACATGTTCGGTCGATCGCCGTCACAGCCCATTAGCGACCAGTGTTTAGGTACGCATAGCCCAGTAGACAAGCACATATGCATGATGCATGCAACTTAACCCTTCTCTTCCTCTCCTCCTTACGTCTGATCTATCTATCTATCTATCATTAGTTGGTGCCTGCTCACGCATCTCACATCCTCCATCGATCGATTGTTTTCATCTTTTTTTTTCTTTGCCCCCATGTCCCTGTCTCCTAATCCTGTTCACCCAGCTCGGCCGACACGGCTTAAACAAAAACGCATGACCTACCCTGACCTGACATGCCAACATTATCCAGGAACCCCCAACACAAAGCCGGTCACTACCTGTGCAAAAAAGCTAACGCATCGTCCTGCCGTGCCGTGCATGCGTGCGTCACCCGGCACGGCAAGATTAATTTACATAAACCCCAACTTAACAGAGAGCTCTCTGCCTGCCGCTAGCTACGAACTTGCGCCATTGTGCCTTATCCCCGTCTCCCTCCAAAAGGCCGGAATTTTCAATCGTGCCGCCGCTCAAGTCGCCGGCCGGCGACGCGTGGATCACCCGCCGGCATATATTCGACGTATCCACGGCCACCTTAGTTTAACGATCTGATCTTTTCCGGTTATTGTCATTTAGCTCGCTGCTAAAGTTAAGATAAGAAAAAGTAAGCAATTTTTTTCTTTCTTACAAAACCATACTTTTTGATGGCATTAGTATAGTAAAATCCACATCCTATAAACCTATGAAAGTTCATCCCTACAAAGTGTAGTTAATACCACTTCTCTTTTCTTTCATAAGCCACATCATCTCAATTGCTTCTAACCTTGGATGTTGTATATATGGTTCAAATTATCTTACTCCTTTTCTTCTCTTAATTATAAAGTCATATCACCTTAATTTTGTATTTGAATGATCAAATTATATTATTTTTTCTTTTCCTCCCCTCATTAAATCACATCATCTTAGTTTTTTTTAAACTATCAACCATATTTGATTTAAGTTGTTGTAAACCACATCATCAAATGGTTTATATATAGCTCCTTTTTTTTTGCATAGTTGATCATAGATGAAAATTATATAAAGTGTAGCTATTTTATATGTTAGTTTTACATGTTATTTCTACTAATATTATACAAAACTCCCACAACAATGCATGGAGTTTCATATAGTTTATAATTTGTTTCAAGAAACCCGGGTGTTGAGACAAAAATGCTTCATATATAAGACCCCAAATTTATACAAAGTATTTTATACCCCATTGTATTACACGGAGTATTTTTTTTAATAGAGTAAATTTTAAAAAATCACATTTTCTATGGTCAAAGTTAAAGAAACCACATGCATGCATTATGACTTGTGGCACCAACCATAGATTTTATGATCTAAGTGCTTCTAAAACCCCACACTTATTCAAATCGTAACTAGTTTTATCAAATATTTTTTTAAAGTAGTGAAGAGTTAAATCAATAACCTTAGTCATTAGTCAAGGAATCAATAACTACAAATTTAATATAGACTATTTTAAAAATCGAAGTAAATGTGTGCTCAAACATGTAAAGGGTAGGGTTTGTGGAACTTTAGAACCATAAAAACCGAGATTATGTGCCATTAGTAATAATATCAGGTGTTTTATGCAACTTTAGCCATAAAACATGGTATTTACTAAAATGTACTCTTTTTAAGAAATACCTGTGGCTTGAAATAAACATTTTCACCGTCTAGTATCTTTCCTTCTCACTCTCCCATACAAGAAGGCAAAGACAACAATATAAACTGCAGTTGCAATGACACATTAATCGGTTACATGTTGCTAGCTAGCAACCATGTTTATGGAGAAAGTGGTCAGTTTATATTTGTACTTAAAAGAAAACGATCTGCTATTTTGTACAAGTATGTTTGTCTCTATAAGTAAATACTATAGCCAAATATATGATATAGACACAAATATGGTATTTCATGAAACCTCTACGCCGTAATAAAAAGGAAAAATCTGGGGTTTATAAAAACATGTCGTAAAACCTCAAATTCACTTTTTATAAAAAAAAAGGGACATCGTTATCTCTACCTACGCCTTACAGTGCATCATGATAGCGCCGGAGTCTTTCTGCTATCACCATGGATAGGCCGCGATTCATCCTCTGACCTTCTCCTCATCTCCTCCTTTTTGCCTTTCCTTTTGTCTGCTAGATCATGGCGCCGCTCGGCGATGGCGTTTGTGCGTGACGCACACACGCACGCGCTTAATTTGCCGGTGTGTGGTTTTTCCGACTCGTGCTTGAAGGTTAAGTAAGGTGTATTGTGTTGGTCTATTTGGACTAATCTGCAGGACCAAATCTGCAACTGCAAATGATAGGTTCTGACTACTACTAGCTGGTAGT